ATTCTGTAGCTATATATCTATGTTCACATAAGGCTTAATTCTGTAGCTATATATCTATGTTCACATAAGGCTTAATTCTGTAGCTATATATCTAGGTTCACATAAGGCTTAATTCTGTAGCGTAAAACAGGCTTTTGTTTACAAAATACTTCACCAAACTTGCCAAGTCTCCCTAGTTTGCAGGAAGTCTCCTAAATTTTCAATTTCAATTCTTCACTTTTGAAATTAGTAGAATTTCCTACCTCTTGCCATTTGCTAAAATTCATTTACTGCAAAAGTGGAAATTTTGGCAGTGTGAATGCTTGAATTCTTTTTTTTAAAATTAATTAGCATGAAATTATCCACATGCCAAAATGTATCTATAGATAATATGGATTAGAGATACATAGATTAAGAGCTATCGTCTAAGTGCAAAAAAAGTCACAATACAAGGATTTCCACACACAATATTTCCACTCTTTCAGTATTTCAATACAAGAAACAGTTGATACTATAGCATAATAAATATACTGTCAATATTTTAAAAATATTATTATCTTTGTATGATAATGTCAAATCCTGTGTAAAATTTGAGGGTCAATTAAGTCATTGTTTCCCTAATTATACCGGTCTCTTACAAGGGGAAATATTGTCACCTGTGTTGTTTTCTTTGTATGTGAATGATTTTGAAATTAATTTTATTAATGATAATTGTCCAAGTATTGATTTACAGATGCTTAACCTTTTCCTGCTAATGTATGCTGATGATATGGTTTTTTTCGCTGATAGTCCAGCTGCATTGCAAAACATGTTAGATTCTTTACACAGTTACTCTAGAAAATGGGATCTGGAAGTCAACATTGATAAAACAAAAGTCATGGTTTTTAGAAACGGGGGAAACATAAGAAATAATGAAGTGTGGAAATATAATAATGAGAACATAGAAATTGTTGACTGTTTCAAATATTTGGGAATGTTTTTTAATTATAATGGTAAATTTTATAAAACCCAAAAGCATTTAGCGGACCAAGGAAGAAAGGCTTTATTTTCATTATCATCCTCTTTAAAGAACCATTGTTTGAATTTGGAAACCCAATGCTCTGTCTTTGATATTTATGTCAGCAGCATCTTAAGCTATGGTGCAGAAATATGGGGGTTTCACAAAGCTCCTGATATAGAGAGAGTTCATTTGAATTTCTGCAAAAAAGTCCTTAGAGTATGTAAATCTACATTCAATGATTTAGTTTATTGTGAATTGGGTAGACTACCATTAATTGTTACAAGAAAGCTAAAAGTATTCAAATATTGGTTGAAGTTGACGAAATCTGATAATTTGATATTAAAAACTTGTTATGATGAATGTGTCAACGTGAATGATCCGTGGATTTGTAACATTAAGAATGAATTAACTGCCCTAGGTCTTGGTTATATTTTTGAATCGAATCTACCATTGGTAAACACTTTTGAAATTATTGAACACAGATTGAAAGATGTTACTAAGCAAAATATGTTGGCAAAGATAGCAGCTTCATCAAAAGGTAGACTATATCAATATCTTATAGACAGTCATAGTATTCAGTTTTATCTCCGTAAACATATTGAAACAAAATACAAATATATGTTAACTAAATTTAGAACGTCGTCTCATCAACTGAATATCGAAAAGGGTAGACACAATAATATCATTCGCAGAAATAGAAACTGTAGCAAATGTGATTTGGGAGACGTCGAGGACGAATTTCATTTCATTTTTGTATGTCCTTTTTATAATGATTTGAGGTTAAAGTATATAAAGAAGTATTATTATAAGAGTCCCTCTGTTTACAAACTTGTCCAACTTTTATCTGTAAATAATGTCAAAGAGTTGTCAAATCTAGGTAAATATTTATATCTAGCCACTAAGCGGCGAAATTGATTAATTAGCTACACGTATTTATAATTTTTGTGCTTTTGTATTATGTTCTTTGTTTAGTTTGCACTTGTATGCTTATAGTCACTCTCCTATAACATATATACATGCACAATGTATCATGATTACTTTGTACCTATAAGTCTTAAGACTTTTGGTGAATAAAGAACTTGAACTTGAACTTTGTTAATTAGGGATCATTATAATTACTTATGAAATTTAAAACAAGAAGCCCAGAGGGCATGTATCGCTCACCTGTTTCTTTTGTTACATGAAACTGACATATAGGTAACTTAAGACCATTTGGTAACTAGAACACAAGACATTTTAACATCTCTTAAACGCTTCTCAAGATATTGTTGTTTGAAATTTGAAATTGTAATTTTCAAGCTTTTAACACACATTGACCTTTGACTCCGAATAGCACTTAAAGTTGACATTTGACCTCATTACTGTAATTAAGAAAAAGATTCGCACTGCTGGTCTTCATAACATACCCAAGTATCATGATTCTAGTCCAAATGATTCTTAGGATATTGTTGTTTGAAATTTTGAACATATTTGACCCCTGTGCCCTTGAAAGTAGGTCAAGGTCATTTTGATGAGGAAACTTTATAGCACTCCATTCGTGGTACCTACTGGCCAAATATCATGACCCTATATCCTCCAGTTCTTCAGAGAAGTCGTTTGAAAGAGAAAGTTGACGGACGGACGGGCAACAGACGAAGGACGCCGCAGTACGGCATAAGCTCACCTGGCCCTTTGTATTGTTATATAGTCCCCATGAACATTTTTCAAGGTGGGCAAATATAAAACCTCATTTTACCAATGTAAGGGAAGAAATATTTCATTAAAAACACCCTTTCCTATGAATAGAGATGCAGGGATGAATCTTCATATACAAATGTAAACAAATGACATTTTAGAGGACAGGGAACAGATCTTACTGTGTTTAAATAAGATTATAGATTGAAGGAATATTTACCTATATATTGGGCTTTGAGGGGACTAGCTACAGATTTAGGGATTTCTGTTTTGATCGTGCCACTGTCATAGGAATAGGCTGTCAACCAGGGAACCATGGTCCATATCTGTAACATGAACATCTCGTTATAACAACTTGTTAATATACACGCTATATAGGGTTAATCTGTATTTGGAGATGAAATTAATTAGCATTGGTGTACATGTATATATAAAACAGGCCTTTAATTGGTTTAAAATCTTTTGATAATTCATTTCTAGAAGAAAGACAGAAACATTGCAAAAATATTACCATATCCTACCATTGATCCATGTAAATCCATATAATGCCCCTCGTTTATATATAGTAAAACCTCAATATAATGCCCCTTGTTTATATACAGTAAAACCTCAATATAATGCCCCTCGTTTATATACAGTAAAACCTCAATTTAATGCCCCTCGTTTATATACAGGNTCGTTTATATACAGTAAAACCTCGATATAATGCCCCTCGTTTATATACAGTAAAACCTCGATATAATGCCCCTCGTTTATATACAGTAAAACCTCGATATAATGCCCCTCGTTTATATACAGTAAAACCTCGATATAATGGCCCTCGTTTATATACAATAAAACTTTGATATAATGCCCCTCGTTTATATATAGTAAAACCTCAATATAATGCCCCTTGTTTATATACAGTAAAACCTCAATATAATGCCCCTCGTTTATATACAGTAAAACCTCAATTTAATGCCCCTCGTTTATATACAGGAAAACCTCAATATAATGCCCCTCGTTTATATACAGTAAAACCTCAATTTTTGCTGAACTCCTTCACAACACCTATATTTCTCTGGACAAATGGTGGCAGTATAACAAGGTTTTCCTGTATTTTACCTGAATCTATATAACATATATCCTTGAAAACTTGCTATGAATTTTAAGGTCCTGCTAGAGATGAGCATCACTCTGAGGTATTCACCAAAGTCAAATATTGCCATACACAACTTTATTCTGAAGTTACCATACACAACTTTATTCTGAAGTTACCATACACAACTTTATTCTGAAGTTACCATACACAACTTTATTCTGAGGTTGCCATATATCCAATCTGTCACACAAAAAGTCATAAGCCTAATCCACTGTGTACAGCAACCAGGAAAAATACAAGTACTTGGCTCAAGGTACTGGTGTCTTCAAGCGTTTAGACAGAGAAATATTAACACTAAGCCCAAGTATCCTTTCCTCATCCCAGCTCTCTCTCTGATATTTCTTGGATTGTTATTTCAGTAATGTAATGATCGCTTACCTTGGCTGCATTGACAAGTCGCCAGGCCCTCATCAGCCCGAAGCCGTGCTTGTGACTGTGGAAAAGACCCACTCCATTCTTCTGCCAGTCTGCCACGCTCACATCCACCTAGGGTTATAAAGAAAAGTGACAGTCAGAAGAATAACTTTGATTTTCATTCTTTTCTATAAACACAATACATTCCAATTAATATCACTGGTCATTTAGTTTGGTTTGTTTCTGCTAAACGTCCCATTAACAGCTACGGTCGTCTAAGGGCTTGCCAGGTTTTGGTGGTGGAGGATAACCAGAGTACCAGGAGAAAAACCACTGACCTGCGGCGTTTACCTGACGCCTGCCCTAAAGTAGGCCTTTAACACACGACCCAGTCATGGAAGGCTGGTGATCATAGACGGTCAGACGTCTTGACCACTTGACCACTACTGCCCCACTTGACATTTGTTGTCACAGAATTGGAAGATGACATGTGTTTTTTCAGACAGCTCTCAAAATCCAAAGTGACCTTTTAAAAAATGTTTCAAGACAATGCAAGACTAAGGAAAAAGTGACATCAAATCAAAAGATATTATCAGTGGAGTTTAATTCAGTTCCAATAGCAATGTTCGCTGTAGTAACTTTTGGCAAATTTGTCTTTGACAATCAGCGTGACATTATCCTGCTGACACCCTAATTCCAGCCATACAGCAATACAGCCATACAGCCATACAGCTCATGATTCTGTTAATCTCTTTATTCCTGAATACTTATTTTTGTGAATATTTTTCCAATTATATAATTGTAATGATTTGAATTTTTACAGGTAACATAATGGCTGTATATGTTCTAGTATCAGTACCGGTATATCACATTTACTGTATATGTTCTAGTATCGGTACCAGTACATCACATTTACTGTATACGTTCTAGTATCGGTACCGGTACATCACATTTACTGTATATGTTCTAGTATCAGTACCGGTACATCACATTTACTGTATATGTTCTAGTATCAGTACCGGTACATCACATTTACTGTATATGTTCTAGTATCAGTACCGGTACA